GGCGAGCTTCGGCTGGCGCCCCACGTGCTGTTCCCCCCCCACAGCCGGCCCCGGAAGCAGCGGCTGCTCACGCTGGCTATGTACAACACTGTCCTGCTCGGCTGGGCTCGCGAGGTGAGTGCTGGGCACTGCCCCGGGGTGCCTGTCTGCTAGCCCGAGGTCAAGGCCCGTGTCTGTGGGGAGCCCTCCCAGGCTCGCACAGAGAAGTCTGCTGTGGCCAGCCCTCAGGGTGTTTCTAAGTGACCAGACACGCCCTGTCCTTTCTCCCTGTGGCTTCTGCACCCACCTGAGCAGGGGTGCGTGGCCTCCAGGGCAGCCCCACCCACGTGGCTTGTGCAGCATCAGCACTGTGGGCCCAGGGTGGCTTCCTCTCCAGCTCCCTAGGGAGGTGAGCCCCGTCCTGTCAGTGCGGCGTCCCTGCACCAGGTCCCCTGAGTTCCCAGGGCTGCGTCTTCCTTTTCGTTCATCTGGGGCATTTCCAGTTCTGTCCTGGTGTCTTCTCTGACCTGGTGTTCAGGAGAGCGTTGTTTTATTCATTTACTTATTTACTTTATTTTTAAAATCTTTATTATTTAATTTGCTGTAGGGCATGTGTACTCACCATTGAGAGAGAGAGAAAGCAAGCTGCCAGGTCCAGGATTCAAACCGTGGTTGGCCACCATGGCACTGGCTGGCCCTCTTTTAAGTTTTCATTATGGCTTGCTCCAGACTGGGGTGGGTGGCACCCCTCCCCGGGGGCAGTGGCCACTCCACGGTGCCCTCTGTGGTTCTGGGCACTCACACACGCAGCATGTTGTCAGGCCGCTGGGTCCAGACTTGAACCGCGGAGGCAGCCATGTGGGAACCAGTGCCTCCCCCTGCCCGCTGGCCTGCAGTTGTTGACAGACCCTGGCGAGAGGCTCGCCAGCCCGATGCGACCCCGCGGCCCTGTGGCCCAGTTCGAGAAGTAGCTGCCAACCAGCCCAGTCCTTGGGTGAGCAGAGGCGGCCGGCTTTTTTAAATAGTTTATTCTTTTTTTTTTTTAATCAATCAAAAAATGAAGACCTGCTTGTAGAGAACTCGATGTGCTCCCTTCTTTCGAACTGTCAGAGGGCGCGTGTGCTCCCAGCAGGGGTGCGGCAGGGCATGCTGCGCTCTCCTCCATCCCTCCACCGCATCAGCTGGGCACGTCCACACCAGGGGTGTTTCAAGCTTCTGGGGCCGGGACTCGAACTGCAGTTGGCCCTGTGGGATCCGGCTCCCTAGGCACAGGGCTTAACCGCTGGGCCACGGGGCTGGCCTCCCGGAAACCTCAGTGTCCCCTGGCAGTGGCCACATGGCCCGTGTCCCTGCCTCGGTCCCCTCCCTGGGAGGACACCAGTCTCCGGGTCGGGGCCTCTGCCGTCGTCCACTGTGGCCCCGTCTGGTCTAGTCGGTAGTTCACCTGCAGACACCTATCCCACAGACCTCACTCTGCACCTGGGGGACAGCCTCTCCGTTTAAGCAGCACTCGGAGCACTCGCATGTGCTTCTCGGTGTCATCGCTCCCTGACTAGCTGAGGGACACTCAGGCCAGCCCTGGCTTGGGGAACAACCTCAAAGCAGTAGCGTAATCTCCCCCCGTGGGACTAGAAGCAGCGGCACGGTGTACAGCCCGGCAGACATGAGACCAGGGAGACACAGCACAGCCGAAAGGCGGCGCTTAGAAGACGCCCACGTGGCAGGCCTTGGGCCAGGCTCACGGAGGGAGTTTGTAGCAGCCCCAGATCATCCTGTCCAAACAATAAGGACGCCCGCTGGTCCTGCCTTGCTGGGTGGCGGCCCCGACCCTGCGCTGAGCTGTGCGCAGCGTTGTCGGGACTCTGTCCCCTCCTGAGTCGGCTCAGAGACAGGCTGGCCCTTGGCCACTCCGGCTGACCCTCAGCCCGGCTTGGCCCTCCAGGGCTCGTTCCGGGAGCTGGTGTACGTGTTCTTCATGGTGAAGGACGCCGGCCTGTCCCCAGACCTGCTGTCCTATGCGGCTGCCCTCCAGTGCATGGGGCGGCTGGACCAGGACGCCAGCACTATCCGGAGGTAAGCGGGTGTGGGGCGGCCCCACCCCTTCCCGTGGTCCTGCAGGGATGGAGCGGGGGCCCGGGTTCTGTGATGGCAGGGCCAGGGGCCCCTGGGGGATGGCCGCAACACGGACTGAGCCCGCTGTCCCCGCAGGTGTCTGGACCAGATGGCCCGGGATGGGCTGCAGCTGCCAGAGCTCTTCACAGCCGGGATCCTGTCTGAGGAGGAGCAAGCTATGGTCCTGAAGGCCGTGGTCAAGGCTGAGCCCACCTTCAGCCCGCCTCCGCGGCCCCCGCCCCAGGCCAACACCTCAGCGCTCCTCAGCGAGGTCTATGCCAAGGTGAGCCTGGGGCCTGCAACAGGACCCAGATGGGGACGGGAGCCGGGTGGTCAGCAGCCCTGGGGGAGCCCTGTCTCCACACCCACCAGCTAGTTGTCCTACTTCCCAGGGACCCACGTGCATCCCAGGCTCTGGAGTTGACAGAGCTGGGGAGAGGCCAGGCTAGCAGGCCCCAGACCTGGGGCAGCCAGGACGGAGGCCCCCTCGGACGCAGGCTGGCAGTACCCACTGGGAGCTGGGGCCGTGGGACTCGGGTGGGGTTGGCTTTCCCTGGAACCCCCAGCCAGAGTGCGATTCGGACGGCTCCAGTATGTCCCTCTGTCTAGCTCTGGAATGTCCCAGCCCCTGTGCTGAGTCCCCTGGTCCTCGTGGACCTGCCTGTGGCCTCCGTCTGGCCTCCGCCCTGAGCAGCACTGTGGCTGGTCTGTGGAGGCAGTCCTGTGGACAGGTTGGCCCTCTCCCCAAGTCGCCTGGGCCTACTCCGCACACTGCTCAGGCTCCGCGAGAGCTCGGACTCCGCTCTGGGCGTCAGTGGCTGTCCTGGCCATCCATCTTGGAGGGGCGACTCGCCGTGCGTCCCGGGCGTGAAGAGAAACAGCGAACATCTAGGGGCGCAGCCTGGTCCTTCCCAGAGGGATGAAGGCCCCGCTGGGCAGGTCCCCATTCACTTTCTAAGTAGTGGTTCTTTTATATATATTTGAATGTTTTAAATTTTGCTAGCGGGCACATGTGCTCACCAGAGCGAGCGAGCAAGAGATAGAAAGTGAAAAGGCGTTTCCCGGTCCGAGACGGGAACCGCGCTCTGCCACGTGGGAGTCTAGCGTGTAGGTTAAGATCCACTGCTTACCCACCAGGCCACCCGCGGGCCGTGCAGAGGTTCTTAATCTACACGGTGTGCTGCCTGCTGCCCCTGGCGCCCGCCTGGCGGTGGTAACCTCCAGGAGGGACTCAGGAACACAGTGGGGCGGGAGTTGCCGGTGCCCGACTGCGCCCAGGCCCTCACCAGCACCTGCTCCCACAGGATAGCCCCGCGTCGTACCCAAAGCTGCCCCTGCCCCTGGAGACACTGCAGGGGCTCTTCCAGCAGCAGCTCCATGCAGAGCTGGCCACCAGCGTCTCTGTGGAGTCCGTGGAGAAGGCGCCGTCGCTGACCAAGGAGGTCCTGCAGGCGGTGAGCTGGGCTGCTCAGCTGGCGTCCCCTCCCTGGGTCCTGGGTCTCTGCCAAGCCGAGGTGCGGTGGGAACTACAGGGTCCTGAGATGGGCGCACAGCCCCCCAAGGGCAGCCGCGGTGAGGAGCTGCCCAGAAACTGCCCAGGAAAGGGCGGTCTGTCCAGCGGCGAGAGGCGACCCCTTCTCAGACCGACCGGCTGTCCATCCCTCAGCGGAAGACCCTGAAGGCACTGCGTGTGCAGTGGGAGGCGGCGCTGCGCCGGAAGCTGCAGGAGACCAAGGC